ATAATGAATAAGAAAGCAGTTGTAAAATACAGAAAACGCAAGCTTGAAGAAAAAAGACGCTATGAACAATATAAAGAAAGTAAAGTTAAATCTACAAAAACATTAATGGATGACAATTCAGATTACCCTTTGGATGAAAATTCTGACTGTGATGCGTCAATTCAAATACAAAAAGTTTTTAATTGTCGAAAAATTTCAAAACACTCTACTATGGACACTAGTCAACTCTCAATTACAGTATCCAAACGTTGTATTCTTGACAATCAACTCTTTCATACAGCATTAGGCCAAACAAAAGTAACACCATGACAAGCAATGATGGTTGTCACACCAGCCCTAGCTGCAATCGGTATTAATGTAAATAAATTAACATTATTACGTTCCACTCAAATGGAAGCTCAAACTACATCTTGCAAATCGCTTTCAATAGCAGTAAGAAAAGATTTTCAACCCTTGGTTCCGCTAGTTGCTCATTTTGCTGGTAAAATTTTGTCGTATGTTAATAGAACCAGACGCGAATGTCTGCCAATTGTTGTATCTGGCTTGGATATTGAGAAATTACTAGGGATCCCTGAGATACCTGCTCGTACTGATGCTCTGATGGGACAGAAGGTAGTTGAGTTAATTCATGAATGGCCTTGCGTTGAGGAACATCTTGCAGGTCTTTGCTTTGACACGACTGCAAGTAATACAGGAAGATATAACGGGGCAATGGCTCTCATACAGAAGTCAATGAATCAAAGAGTTTTGTTTTTAGCCTGTCGACATAAATTCTTGAAATATATGTCGACAGGCATATATTCTTGAAATCTGTACAAATGCAGTGTTTGATGCGTTTTTTGTATCAAAAGAACCAAATATTGAACTTTTTGGTAGAGTGAAGTCCCAGTGAGAGTTAATAGAAAAATCAAAGTTTGAACCACTTAAAAGTGATACATGCGGAACTGGATGCCTTACAAAAGAGTGGCTTGCATCTCAAAAATTCGATGTGGTAAAAAAATTAAAAAAAATACTTAAAGGACACTCAACCACGTGATAATTATAAAGAGTTCGGGCAACTAGCTCTTCTCCTTTTGGGAGAAAATAATGATACAACAAGTATTTGCAATCCTGAGGCTTACCATCGTGCAAGATGGATGGCTAAAGGAATATACTGTTTAAAAATTTTTGGTTTTTGTCATCAATTAAATGTCACAGATAAAGAAATCGGGATTTTAAGAAGAATTTGTCTCAATAACCACAATTTATGTATGTTTCTGGTTTTCAGCACCTCTCACAACAGAAGCACCAAAAAATGATTTCCTTCTTTTAAAAGTAATCGAAAACTATTGTCAAGTAAATCGAGAACTATGTGACAGCAAAGTTGCAAATGTTGCAAAAAATAAAATTAAACTTCAATTATGGTATTTAAGTGAAAATCTAGCTGCTCTCCCATTATTCAGTGAAGAAATTTCTGTTGAAGAGAAAATGGAAATTGTAAATGCCTTACAAAAAGAATCATTACCATGTGACAATAGAAGGCTAATTATTTTAAAAAACAAAATTTATACATTCTCTAAACTTTCTATAGCTAACTTTGTTACACTACGCTCAATGAATTTGTTTGACTCTCTCAATCTACCAAAAGATTTCTTGATATCGTCAACTAAAACTTAGGCTAATCGTGATGACTACAAGGCTGCTAGTAAGCTTGTTTGTGCCTTGAAAGCGGTTGATGACTGTGCAGAACGGGAAGTTAAATTAGCCACTGACTTTAATAAAGTTTTGACAAAGAATGACAATCAGCGTCAGCTTCTTTACCAAGTAGTTGAGTATCATAGAAAAAATTTTTTAACTAAAGTTACAAAGAGACAGTTAAGCCATAATCATTCTAAATAACAGCAATTTTATCTATTCAAATATGCATACATATAATATGAACTAAATATATAGTTAAGTACATATATGGCTATTGTTTTTCTGTAGTATTTTAATTTAATTTAGTATTTTTTAATTTAGTTTTTTAAGGTTTTTGTTTCGTTTCGTTTTTTCATTTTTCTATTGAGTAAAAAATATAACAACCAAAAAGGTAATTTTTATTCATAGCAAATTGCTATGAATAACCTGTGAATAATATGATCAAAAGGTCATTCGTAAAAGGTCATTCATAAAATAAAGGTCATTCAAAAATTAATTTTCATTCATTCGACAAATAATTTAGCGCGATTTAATATTCTTTCTTAGAATTTCTATTTATTAATTAGTATGTCTTTGAAACAAAATGAACTAGCCAAAAAAAAAATTTGCTTTTTATAATACTTTAAAGACAATAAAGTTTATATTGTTAATAACAGTTATATTGTTTACGTTTTTTTTGGGGGCACCAATATTATTTAAACGATATCAAATAACGGCTAAATTCGTCTTTTATTGTTTAATTTAGTTATATGTTTTATTCTTCTTTTTGCTCAACTACTTTTTTTTTCTTTTTTTCTCTTTAATTCCAAAAACTCCACTCTTTTCGATGTTGTTTCAGATCGAAATAACCTTGTCCTTCCTTTCTATTCCTTGATCATTATTGTTGCTATCGATGACTTTAATGCTCATCAAGTACCAATGACCTTGCTGAAAAAAAAACTCAAAATTGTTTTCTTAATCTCTTATTAAAATTAAGAAAGACTTTTTAATCTTAATAAGAGAATAAAGTTATTAAGTTAATTTGTGACTTAATTTCTATAGAACCCAATAATATACCATCAATTGTTGAATTGTGTCTTGTCTCTGATCGTAGATTGTGCTTAGTTTCTTATTATCATTTAGGTGGTCATATTATGCTATAGTACATATTATACTATGGTACATTTCATGTTATGATAACATCAAAAATTTTGTCGCGAACTTCTTCTACATCAGATTCACCGTAGGCACTTCGTATCACCGTATCACCGTATCACCGTATCACCGTATCACCGTATCACCGTATGCACTTCGTATTACTGCCTTATAGCTGATTGAGATTAATTTTGTTATTTTCTTTGAGATGATTCTTGGGTTGATGTCTTTTGTCTCCCTGGATAATTTCCTGAATTTGGCCAGGTATGATATTTTTGTTATATTTCGCTATTTTCAAGTCAAACCTCAATCTACTGAATTGTTTTCTCCTCCTCGTGTAGTTTATTTTATCATTGTAAGTGTCAATGCAAAAAATGTTTGTCTGAGCCTAAAGTCTTTTATTTTAGAATAAAGGACTTTAGATAAATCTTGTATTATATCTAAAAGGTTAGATTTTACAGGCGTTTGGGAAATCTTCAACAATGTCATTAAAAGAGGCAAGTCTATTATTCTTATACATTGATCTAATCTTATTACCCCTCTCAAGGAGAAGGTAAAAAGACAAATCTTTGCAAAAGACTTTTACTTTATCTCATATTTTAAATCTAACAATTATACTCTTCCTGTCATCTCAAAAAAAAAAAAAAGATTCACCCACTGTTAGAAATCTAAATAACTTCTGCTTCTATTGCTAAAGTTATTTTTTAATAATTACAGCTTATGCCACAGAAAACATTTCTTTTACAGTTGTAAAGTCTTTTCAGAACTCTTTTATTACACTCTACACTATTTAAAAAGTGCTTGACTCAATTTAATTTTATTTCCTGATAGAATATGACATCTGTGGTTCCAATGTAAAAAAAATGTAACAATTTCCCAGTTTTTTTACTACTATTAGCGAAGTCTTCAAAAGTATAATTAATAAACTTCTAATATCTCATCTTGAGTTTAATATTTTACACATTTTACTATCTGACAATCAATATAAAATTCAATCATATTGTTCTACCGGTGACTTATTACCCGTTATAATAGAAAAAAAAGGCTATTGTTCTTGATATATTAAAGACTTTGATAATGTCTTCTCCTTAAGCTTGCCTCCTATGGTGTATCAAGTTAAGGCTATAAAAATTATTAAATTAATTCCTTTCTTATCGCGGTATTAAAGTGATCAGACATCTTATGGAAAGCATGTATAAAATCCACTGCAAAGCTAGCACTTGTTAAGGTTGCATCTTTGTAAAGTTAAATCTCTTTCTATTTTTAGAAATACTACCATGGTCTCTGCTCAAGTGAGCTATCATCACTTGTACCAAAACCAAAAAAGTATATTGTTGTACTTCTAAATATAACTCTCTCTGGTCTTAAAAAACTAATAAATACTTGTAACCTATATTGCAAGTCAAACTATATAAAACATTTTCTAAAGCAAAATTCCTGCTTACAGGTAAAAGACAGTTAAATAATTGTACGATAACCCTCACTGGCAATCGAATAAATTAACATAACAGACTTAAACATTTCGAGTAAAGAAACACTATTTTTGACGCACTTCGTCATGCATTGCAATTTACTTAATGAATTCTTTATTAAAAGATATACTAAAATAAAGTTACTTGTGTAAATAAAACAGGACAATAACAACTATAATAAATAACTTTTGCAACAACAAGTTTTATAAAACTAACATATTTATCTGTCTTTCAAGTAATTAAGTAAATTTTGAATATCTGAATTCACAGTTTAACTACTGTACAGTTAAACGTACTTATTTCGATAACATAAAGGAATAAAATAAAGTTCATCAACTGAATATGACAAACTTAGTATAGAGTACAAATAAAATAAAAAATCAGGTATCAATCAGTAAAAGTATAGTTTGGTTGCGCAGTTTTTTTATAAAACAAAGTGAGTTTTCTTAAATTAATAATTTTTATTATTTAGTTGAGTTTTTAATGGAACTTTTTATTATATTTTTGTTAGCTTTAGTAAAAAGTTAGTACTTTAAAAAGCTTATAAATTTTGCTTTAAAAATCTAAGAAAAAGAAGTAACTTAAAAAAAAAAAAAGATTTTTTATAAGAAGGTAAACCCATTACCCTGAAGTCTACCAAACTATGGTAAAAAGCAACGACATTAAAAGCTCAAAAACAAAGGTAACTATAAAGTTATAAAAAGATATAAAACTTACGGAATGCGCACGATTACTTCCGAAACTATAATAACGTTCATAGTTAGGAAAATGTATGCTTTTGATAAGTTGAGCGTGTTCAGTAAAAGAGAACACAGCCGTAATGTTGTCGCCATAGTTTTTAAAGAATGCTGCTAAACTATCAACGGTTGTTTTGTTGGTTATTTTTAAGATCTCAAAACGAGATAAATTCTCGTTTCTTTCAGTATACGTTTTTAGACAGACTTCGTCACTTATAAATAGATATCTGCAACTTATAACTGTACTTAAGCATAGATGGACATAAACTTTCGCAATATCACCCATCTCTTAAGTTAGATCCTGCGTTTTATACATGTAAATATTAGGAGCTTTTTTTCACGATATCGCTGAAAGTAAAATCGTACCACGTAGTGTTTTTGTTTTTTTGTTTAATTTTTTGATATATTAAACTCAAAAGCCTATTTTTAAAATCAGATTTTAATAAAAAATTTTAAATAATTGATTAAAATTGTTTTAAATTAAATAAACAATCCTAATACATTATTTCTATTGAAGAATTGCCATTACATTTGGAAAAAGAAAAAAGAAAAAACTTAAAAGTTACACTATCGTATCAAAAATTAGTATTGTCTAGAAAGTATAGTTGCTACAAAGAGATTTAATACAGCAATGTCTAGAATTGTTTAAATTTAAACTTTTTTTTTTATTTCTGAAGTAATAAGTAGAAAAATATATTATCATTTGTTAAACTGCCAAATAAATTTCTCACTTAAAGTTTTAAAAACGGCACCACCATAACGAAACAATTATATCCGATTTATTCAAATGCAATTTTTGTGACTGTAAGAAATTTTATTAGATTTAAAAGCATTTATTATTTATAAAAAATTTTTATTCTTCTTTAAGAACACTGTATATATTAAATATTTATATTATGTATATATTATATATATAAAAAGCTACTACAGTTTTACCCAAATAGAATGTATGAAATATCCAATTTTTTTTGGCTAACGCATCTTTATCCTTGAAATAACTTTACATAGAATCAAAAAATAAAATTTAATTATCATATGGCATTGATAATTAATGTTACCCATATAAAGTAATCATCGGCTTCGTATGGTATTGTCAAAAAAATATCTTTTATGGACTCGGCTTGACATGATGTTGATACATGCACAAAATTATTTATTGAATCTATTTTAGCACCCATATAAGTGTTACATACAATTTTAAAATCGTCTTTAGTGTTTCTTTTTACTGATTCCATTATTCTTTTGGAGATCTTTCTGCAAATGCTGGTTATCTTCATGTCGCGAAACATTTTGTTTGAAGTAACAGCTTTTGTTTCGTTAAAAATTAAAACTTTAAACATAGCCTCAGTGAATCTTACTTGCGAATTTTCAGAAGGAAACAAAGAAAACATGTTATTTTTTGTTGAAATTATTATGCTAGGGTTATCATTGCGGGAATTCGGCATCGGACTTTGATTTATGCTGTTGTATCGGTGACGTTTTTTGTTATTTGATAAATTGAACGACTTTTCTTCCATTTTTCTTAGTTCAACGTCAAATTTAGACAGATTGCTTTCGCTTATAACGGCGTCATCAGTGGCTGCACTTTTTTCTTTTGTGTTCGCCTTGTTACTTTTTATTTGCTTATTATCAAAATTATTGTAAAAAATCTTTTCATTTATTTTACAAAGATTAATTTTATCGGTGGTTACAAAGTTGTTAGGTTCTAATAACTTTTGCGATAAGCTAATTTTTTCGTTTTGTGAATGGTTGTTATGCGATACGTTGTTGTTATACAATTCGTTGTTATTTAGTTGGTTGTTATGCGGTTGTATGTTGCTAAATTTTGCTTTAAGATGAACAAGAAGGAAGTTTTTATCAAAGTTTTGCGTGTTTGTTAGTTTACTCTTTTTTTTTAAGTACTCGTCTTCCTCTACTTCAGATATTGAAGCGTAAGAACTAATGCTATAAGGTTTTACCGAAGAGTAACCAGAGCTTAATGAAGTGTTTGAGCTTTTACGGGTCGTTTTTTTAAAAAAATGGTTTTTTGAAATATCGTTGTTACATACATTACTGCATGCATTATTTGTTTCCAAATTTAGTGCAATAACAGATTTAGAATACGTACTTTTAATATCAAATAAGTTTCCACTGTATTTCCTTTCATTTCTAACTTTTTCATTTAAGCCAGTTGCAACTGAAGTTGAACGCGAAAGAGGTTTGTTCGAGTAGGTTCTTTGAATTTTATTAAAAAATACTGATAAGTTTTTTTTTAAACTTTTTGCGTTATATTGCTTTGTAACATTTTCGTCCATCCTTTTCTCATTCCAAAACATTCTTTATGTGTTATTGAACCATATATATCCATATAAATAAATATGAAACTAACTTTTTTTGTTTGGTATGGATTACTCATTCGCTGTCATTAGAAACTACAAATAATTAATTCTTAGCATTAAAACGCTTTTTTACCAACTATATTTAGAATATCCTGCTAATTAAAGTGGAAAAATAAAAGGTCCTGAATACATTATCAAGTTCCCATGAGATTTAACATTAGTTTAATAAAGTTAAAGCAATAAATTTAAACGTAACAAATAACTTTTTATGTTCGATTTAATAATTTAAACGTTAAATTAAACGATGTGAAACGCGTCTTAAAATTTAATCTTAGTTTTGTTAACTCGCAGTTTGTACCATGACTCAAGTATACTTTGATATTTAGAGCAAAATTATAGTACTTCTAAATAAAAAAAATATAGTCTCTAAAACAAATAACAATAAAAACAAAAAAACAACAACTTGCTTTTGAACATGCAATCAAAATACTCAAAAGTAGAACTATAGTAAATTAAATTCAAATGTTTATAAAAAAGAAAGTATTAACGGATTATATACTTATAATGATATTAAACACTTTTAGAATTTTAGTATTTACATAAGTTTAGCAATTAATATGGGAGATTTTTTGAACTATTTAAAAAAATGAAAATATTTGTTTATGTATCACAAGTTTAGATTTTGGGCTTGTGATATAAATATGTAGCATTATTAAGATTTTATAATCTATTTTTTGTTCTGTAATCAATTATGTCTTATTCTGTAATCTATGATGAGTTATTCTTTAAATTGGAATGCATTGTTCTTTTACTCTATTGTTTTAAAATGTATTATATTTGTACATCATTGTGTATATTTATTTTTATTACATTTATTTATAATACATTTTAATAATGCATTTTATTTGGAAATTTATATTTTTATTAAAAATAAGACTAACTTTATTTGCAAAACATTGCTAGCATTAAAGACACCCCAGAACTGCATTAAATTTTCTTGATATAGTTGTTATAACATAATCTTTTACGTTATAGTTGTTATATTTTTAAAAAAATCTATAACTTACTGTAATTTTGCTATAATTTAATAGTTTAATAACATTTTTTTTGTATTTAGTAATTTTATTTTTTGTTTTTTTGTTTTTGTGTTTTTTTGTTTGTTTTTTTTTGTTTTCGATTAAAGAGTTATTTAAAACAAACATTTGCAGATTGGCTTTTCCTCAAAATCTTCAAATTCCTTTCTTCAAAATCTTCAAAACTTTTTAGATCCACAAAATAATCAAAATTAAAGATTAAAAAAATAATAATAAAAAAAAATAAAAACTCGAAATTTTGCTTTGAAAGTTTTTTTCTTTTGAGCATTTGAGTCTTGCTGAAACATTTACTGTATTGTTAGAAAAATTTGCAGCAGGTATCAGAAAATTCCAACAGGACGACATTAGGTTTTACCCAAAAACAATGTTTTCAATTCTTTCGTTATTTTTTTTAATTTACTGCTGAGATCATATCTATTTATATTTGTGGCTAAAGATTTTTCGCAGCAGAGTAGTTGAATATTAAATTCCACACAAAACCTACAAAATAGTTCGTTGTAGGAGGTACCTTTGTTGTAGGAGGTATCTATTAATGTTAAATACCAATCATAATTTTCTTTTTAAAGAATTTTAAGTAAACACAGAATTCTCTAAAAATGAAATCATAGAAATATATAAACTTTAAAATTGAACTTATATAACTTATAAGTTTGTTTAAAAATTAACATCGATAAATTACATAACTAATTTAAAATAATTTACTAACAAAAAATTTTCAAATATTTTTAAAATTATAAAAAAATGACATTCACAACTCATAGTACAAATAAACATTAAAATTTCCATATGAATATAATTTCTTATAAATATAATTTCTTATAAATATAATTTCTTATAAATATAATTTCTTATAAATATAATTTCTTATAAATATAATTTCTTATAAATATAATTTCTTATAAATATAATTTCTTATAAATATAATTTCTTATAAATATAATTTCTTATAAATATAATTTCTTATAAATATAATTTCTTATAAATATAATTTCTTATAAATATAATTTCTTATAAATATAATTTCTTATAAATATAATTTCTTATAAATATAATTTCTTATAAATATAATTTCTTATAAATATAATTTCTTATAAATATAATTTCTTATAAATATAATTTCTTATAAATATAATTTCTTATAAATATAATTTCTTATAAATATAATTTCTTATAAATATAATTTCTTATAAATATAATTTCTTATAAATATAATTTCTTATAAATATAATTTCTTATAAATATAATTTCTTATAAATATAATTTCTTATAAATATAATTTCTTATAAATATAATTTCTTATAAATATAATTTCTTATAAATATAATTTCTTATAAATATAATTTCTTATAAATATAATTTCTTATAAATATAATTTCTTATAAATATAATTTCTTATAAATATAATTTCTTATAAATATAATTTCTTATAAATATAATTTCTTATAAATATAATTTCTTATAAATATAATTTCTTATAAATATAATTTCTTATAAATATAATTTCTTATAAATATAATTTCTTATAAATATAATTTCTTATAAATATAATTTCTTATAAATATAATTTCTTATAAAATTGGATGTGATTAAATTTATAATTGTTCAATAAATAAAAATTTTCAATTCAAAATTAGGAAAAAAAATTTCTTTATTAAATTTTCTTTAAAATGTTATCAGAAAAAATTTAAAGATATATCGACCTTTACCAACCTACATCTAATATCAACCTAAACAATATTGGCAAAAATTGAAACGTTGGTCGGGTCAAAAAACAAAATGCGCGTAACCAAGCATCATAGAAATGACAACGGTTTTTCTAATACTGCATTTGACTAATATGGCAGGATTTAAACACAATAAATTTTCTATTTCTTAATACAAGGTTTTATTTCTTATTTCAAATTTTGCTAATACAAATCTTCCTTTCTTGAAAGTAAATTGTTTTTTA